GAACCTCTTAGTCAGTCTATTTTAACTTTCAATATTCATTTAATATTTTTTACAATTATAAAAGTTTCATACGACTGTGGTCACCAATGACATCACTGTGGTGTCACAGGAGAACCCCGTAGCCAGTTTATATTAACTTTCAATTTTCATTGACTATTTTTTACAATTGTAAAAGTCTCAGGAGAACCTCTTAGTCGTTTTCTATTAACTTTCAATGTTCATTTAGTATTTTTTACAATTATAAAAGGTTCATACGACTGTGGTCATCAATGACACCACTGTGGTGTCTTAGGAAAACCCTGTAACTGGTCTCATAAATAACCCACATGGCAGTCAAAGTGTTAATTGATTTCGCAAAACACACAATTAATTCGAGAACAAATAAAAATGTCTAGGAATGATAGAATTTTGGAACGCAATTAAAAATACATACCCGCTCTCGTGGTGATATGGTGTTGTTGTGTCTGTTTTTTGAGTGTACATTTGTGTGTCACACAGTCACACAGTAGTAACACAGTATGTTTTTATATGTTATGTGTATTATTAGTGTATTGTGTATTTATAAATGTAATGTTATATACATTTACAAATATAACACATACACGGTGATATGATGTAGTAGTGGTCTGTTTTGAATGTACATTTGTGTGTCACACAGTCACACAGTCACGCAATGTGTTTTTTCTGTATGTGTATTTATAAATGTAATATTATATACATTTACAAATTTAACACATACACGGTGATATGATGTAGTAGTGGTCTGTTTTGAGTGTACATTTGTGTCACACGTTGTTTTTTATGTATGTGCATTAGTGTGTTGTGTATTTATAAATGTAATATTATATACATTTACAATTATAACACATACACAGTGATATAAATATATATTTAAATGATACACTCAAAAGACGATTTAGAATTGGTTGAATAATCTACCGTTGGCTGATGAACACACACTCAAAACAGGATTGCAATTTTAAATTCACTGATCTTAAAATGATCAATAATAATAATAATAATAAAATAATAAAATTATTGTTTAAGAATACGTTTAATAAAAAATAGATCATGATTGAATGGGGGAAAAAAAAAAAACAATATGTTCGAGTGGACACATGATTTTTGGTTTCTTTTTTTTGTTTGTTTGTTTGTTTGTTTTGGCCCAGCCGCAGGGAGACACCTCAGGAGCCATTTTGAAAAAAATATCAGTTGATTTTATTTAAGATATTGATAACTACAAACTAAAATTTCTAAAATATCCTCCTCCTCCTCCTCCTCCTCCTCCTCTTCCTCTTCCTCTTCTTCTTCTTCTTCTTCTTCTTCTCTTCTTTACATGCAAAACGATTTTTATTTTTTTTTATTTTTATTTTTATTTTGAATAATCTCTCTCTCTCTCTCTCTCGCACTCTCACTCTTTCATTCAGACTCCATTGGCAACAAAACACAATTGCAAATATTTTTTTTGGGGGGAGGGTTGCATTTGCCATTGGTCAATAGAGTTTGATTTTTAAGAAAAAATTGACGTGTTTTCTCTTTTTTTTTTTTTTTTAATATTTTTTTTCTTTTGCGTTCATATTAATCGAGTCGAATGAATGAATTATAAACACAAAATATGATTGGTACAATTGTTTTTGTTTGTTTTTTTAAATAGAAAAAGAGGATTTTAGGTTGCAACAACATCGATCAATTTGAACGTTTGACAAACACCCTATATATATATAAATATAGGGAATTATTATTCAATGATTAGAAATTAATTAACACGTTAATGTTTAACTTATAGTTATCAATAATGATTACAAGATATATTAATAATTAATCTATGAAATATTAAATCGAAAAAAAAAACCACCCACCAGGGGTAATTAAAGAAGTTAAATTAAATAATTAATTAATTAATTATTATTTAATTAATTAATTAATTATTATTATACATAATGCTACTACTTTTTTTTTATCAATTGTAAAAAAAAAAAAAATTTGCTTCATTTTTCTTTTTTTCTTTCTTTTTCTTTTTCTTTCTCCCTCGTTTTTTTTTTGTTTTGTTTTCTTTCATTTTGTTTTGTTCTTTTTTTTTCTTTTTTGAAACAAAGCGGCATATATTAATTATTATTATTATTATTAATTACAAATGTTAATAGTATGTTATTTAATTTTTTTTTTTTGGTTTTTTTTTTTAATTTTTTTTCTTTTTTATAATAATGACGATGACGTGTGATAAAAATGATAAAACGCTATTTTAATTTATTTTTTTACTTTGTTAAGTATTGGTTTTAAAAAAAAAAAAAAAAAAAAGAAATTTGGAATTGGTTTTTTTTTTCCTTTTTCAATTATTCATCTGCCAACGCTACAACATTTGTGAATGAAAATTGTGTATGTGTTTTGTCACACATGATTATTGTTGCATTAATTTATTATTATTATTATTATTGTTGTTGTTGTTGTTGTTGTTAATGGTTTATTTCTTTTTTTTTCTTTTTTCATACCAACGCTTTTTTTTTTATATTGGTTGGGGCGCACATGATTTTTTTTTTTTTTATTAAAATTGAAGGAGAGAAAAAGGTTCTTTTTTTTTGGTTGAAGTTAATTATAATAAATGATTACGTTTCTAATACAAATGTGTTTTTTTTTTCAATGATTTTTTTTCTGAATCCACGGTACGTAAAAAGACGAACGATTTGAACTCGCTTTGAATCTTATCAGTTCGTTTTTTTTTTTTTTAAACATTTTTGTATAATTATTTATACGTTGAAAAAAAACTATAATTACGATGATTATTATTATTTTTTTTTTTAAATAAACAGAGCGCAGAGAAGAGAAATGGTGCAAAAAAAAAAGTCTCAGCTTAAACTCAAGAAAAATAAATTAAAAAAAATTCAAAAAAAAAAAAAAAATGGATATTTTACAATAAACGTTTTCAATGAGTTTTGTGAGAGAAAAAAAAAACACCGAAAGAGAAAAATTAAAAAAAAAAAAAAAAATAATAATACGCCGCGCCAACGAACATCATTTTTTTTATATATATATACATATGTATGTGTATATAATGTATCTACATAAATATGGTATATATACATACATATACATATACATATATATACACATGAGTGAGTGAGCGTGTGTATACACAATAATTAATACGATAAAACGTAAAACAAAAACTTAAGCATTTTCATTATAGTGCAGACAAAAAGAAGTCGCCATTTTTTTTTCTTTTCTTTTTTTTGTTGTCGTTTAAAATTATTTCAATTATTGCATAGTACAAACTCATCGGTATTTTTAATTTTTTTTTTCCTAATTTCATATATTTATTTTTTTTTTTCTTAAAAGAGTTTGATAAATAAAAAAAAAATTCAATTATTTTTAATCTGAAAAGAATTTTCATATAAGATGATGATTATTATTTTAATTATTAATTATTAATATTAAAAACATTGTTTCAATAAGAAATTGTTTTTGTTTTAAATGCTTCGATTAATTTATGTTTTAATTAAAAAATTCAATATTATCTTTAAAAAAAAAAAAAAAAAAAGATCAAATGTAGATTTTATTAAATGCGTGCAGCAACGTTGTGTATACACACACACACACACACATATACACATACGAAAGAGAATTTTTTTTTTTTCGTTCATCTTCTCAGTATCGTCGTGTCACCCTATATTATTAATTTTAATTTTGTAAATTTTTGTAATTTTATTCGAATAATAAACCTTAAAACAATTAACACCAGAGCCACAGATTTATCTTGTTTTGCTTGTAAACTTTTTGGTTATGTTTCCATCTTTGTTGTTGTTTTTTTTTTTTTAGTATTTGTTTTTGTTTTATGTTGTTTTGTTTTGTCCACACACACACCACGAAGTGGGAATGATATATAACGTTATTATTATTATTATTATAGGTTATGTTATCATTATATTGTTAAACCAACTCGTGGGATAGTGTTGTTTTGATGAAACATTTCAAATTGTTAATAATAATGTTGCTGTCTTTTTTTTTTTAAACAATTTGAATTGTCTTATTTTAATTTAATACAACTCAAATGTTAATTAAAAAAATATCAAATTCTTTGACCTGAGAGAGAGTTATTTTATATCCATTTTTTTTTCTTTCTTTTTGTTGTTGTTGTTGTTGTTGTTGTTCAATCTGAAAACCTTTGAGTTGAGTCTTATTTTTAATCAATGGATGCAACAAATGGGTGTGCATACTAATTATTAAATCAGCTTTATGTATATCTATCTATATATATATATTTAGGATATGTATTATATCCTATATATAATTAAGAGGGGGGAAAACAAAAAAAAAATAAAATTTAATTATTTCGAAATGGGGATGTGATGAATGTTTTTTGGTTTGTTTGTTTTTTTTTTCATGATTTTAAAAATCGATTGAAACCCCCGTCATCATCATCATCATCATCATCATCCAATGTGTGTGTTTTGTGTATTTTCTTCAATCTGGGCCCCTCTCGTCAAAAAAATCATATTTTTTTTCTTCATCTTCTTTTTTTTGTTTACTTCTTTAGCGGGGATGGGGGGTGGGGGGGAGATGGCGCTCTTATCAGCCGTTACATACCTCAAAGTTGTTTTCTTTTTTTAAATTTAATTTAATTTAATTTAATTTAATTTAATTTTCGTGGGGGGAGAGTGTGGAGTCGTATTTTTTATATTTTTTTTTGTGTTTTTTTTTTGTTTTTTTTTAATTTTATTTGTGGTTTTTGTTGTTGCTGTTGTTGATTGTTGTTATATATATTTTGTTTTCTTTCCTTTTCCTTCATATCTCATTTTGGAATTGCTTCTTCTTGAATTATTTAATTTTTTTTGTTTTTTTCTTCTTCTTTTTTAAATGTTACTTGATTTATTCCTGTTGCTTTTTTTTTTTTTCTTTTTATTGCTGCTTTTGCTTGTATTGCTGCTGCTGCTGCTGCTGCTGCTGCTGCTGCTGCTACTTGCTGCTGTTGCTGTTGCTTAACTGCATTCTGCTGATGTTGCTTGTTTTTTTTTTTTGCTTCGGCGTTATTAACGGGTGTCGTTTGGTGTTATTTATTAAAAGGATTGATATTTTTTTTTATGTATTTTTTTTCTTTAGTGTTGGTAGCAATTGTTTAACTTCCTCTTCATCATCTTCTTCTTCTTAATTTAAGCGGTACTTTCAGTAGTGGTGTTTTGCACCTGTTGGCTTTCCTGCAATAGAAAAATTCTATTTGTACTTATAGAAGTTTAATTTTATCTTATGTGCCTATATGCACACACGTACACATGGCATAACAACTAAAAAAAAACAAAGCACAATGATGTATATAATCATTATAATAATAATAATAATAGCAATAATAATAATAATAATAATAATAATAATATAATTATTAATAGTATCACGACAGCAAAGCACGAATGAAAACGAGATGGCCGTTAATCTGAAAAAATTGTAAGCAAAGGTAATAATTTAAATACAAAGAAAGAACATCGAAGGTCATTAGAGGATAGAGGAGGAGGAGGAGGTGTGTTTTATGCTGAAGGTTTGAGGAGTAGGTGGTGGATGAGAAGGAGGATAAGAAGCAAATATTTAAATGTTACAAGATGCAAGAAATTGATGATGATGATTTTTTTTTTTTGTTTAACACGTTGACGCCGGCGCCGATTTTCAGTGTCTGCGCTGTGGGGCGGCACTCGAATCTAAGATGCGCTTCATCTGGCGGCGCGTGATTTTTGCTTGTTCTCAAACCTGCACCAAGGTGGACCACCGGTGGTACGCGCCGCCTGATGAGACAGTCTAGTGCGGACCACCGGTGGTACGCGCCGACCGATGAGACAGTCTAGTGCGGACCACCGGTGGTACGCGCCGCCCGATGAGACAGTCTAATGCGGGCCACCGGTGGTACGCGCCGGCGTGAACATGTGTTAACTACAAAGGAATTCTAAATATGTATACATATATATATGTCGGATGTATTTTGAAATAACAGATAAGTTGCAACACACACACACTCAGCAGAAAAAAGGAAAGCCACATTACCTGTGGAGCAGGGGCAGCGGCAGGTGCATCCTTATCTTTAGGTGCATCCGACTTCTGCTCCGACTGAAAAGAGTATAAACAAGATACGTGCAATAGTGGTGTGCGAAGCGCTACGCCCTTTCACAAAATAAATTCATCAACGAATTTACCAAGTTACTAGTCCCTCATGATACGAATTTACTAAGTTACTAAGTTACTAGAGTGTCTCATGTGTCAATTATTTGTTTCTACAATAATTTAATACAAAACAACAACGAAAACAATGTATGTCATTAATTGGATAGATTAATAACAAATGAGAAATATACTTTTTATAACTTTGACTAGTAAGTGAAATTCGTCGACAATATTAAACATTTGTGTAGTTGCGTAAAATAAGATACAGAGAGAGAGAGAGAGAGAGAGAGAGAACTAGCAATTGAATAGAGTGATGATGAGATAAATGCAAGAAAAAAAGAAAAAAAATAGAACCCCAGGCTAGCTAGCTTTCTGAATGAATGTGTGAAAGCTATTTATAATATGTATACTATATATAGTCTAACAATACGTTTCGTTCGTTCATAGCAACAGTAGAGAGAGAAGTAGTAGTAGTAGTAATAGTAGTAGTAGTGGTAGTAATAGTATATATCAACCTAGTGAATTATCATGAAAGATTATTTCAAATGTTTCAACTATTAATATCAATTTGGTAACAAATCTAAGTAAAATTCAATGTTATTTCTATATTCTAATACAATAGTATAAAATTATGTAATATGAATGAATGTGTTACCAAATTGATGGTGATAAATAACTATTATTAATAATAAATCTATGAAATATGCAATGACACTCGAGACAGATACTTTGATGTGCTTATCGGAAACTTCAGGAAGTGTCTTGGTGGTGACGGTGGTGGTGGTGATGGTGGTGGTGGTGGTGGTGGTATTATTCTGTGTCTGGGAAATAGGAGTGGCAGGATGAATTTTGTTAGCAGCAGAAGGAGGTCGTAGATTTTCTTTATTTGCCGTCTGCTGGCTATTATTTAGTCGTGTTGTTGTTGGTACTCGTCGTCTGTATCGAGGTCGTGGAATTCTTTGTACACCATCTGTTTGTCCACCCTCGCCGGCACCAACTTCGTCATCGGTCACCTAACAAGTTGACAATTGATCTCTCTACCGTACCCGTCTCATAATTAATTTCATCTATGCTGATCTAGTTTTTGTCCAGATGTATTGATTAATGATCGTTCAAAGATAATAGATGGAATATAAGAAATAATAAACCTACATATATTCATCGTTCCAATATATCCGGTTAAGCCTAATTTAAATAAACGATTATATACATGAAAGAACAAAAAAAAGAAAAAAGAGAATGAAAACAAAGGAGGTTATGTAGGTTGTGTGCCGTTTAAAGAACACAAGTTGTAAATAATAAAACAAAATCAATTAGAAAAATAGGTAGAATAATAAAGACTAATAATAAATTCATTAATCTAATACTAATATCTAAACATAAAATGATGAGGTGTGTGATCGGTGCTTCATTCGTGAACTGACACATTGAAAGATATCTGGGTCGTGTAAATTGTGATTGTATATATGGAAGGAGTTTTATATATCTATATATATATATATATGCATCATCTGCTTGTATGAATTAAAACATTAAAATGATATTATATAAGAAGTTACCTGACCATCCTGATTGCGTGGACGCCTAGGTGGTCCACCACCTCTTCCTCCGCGGAAGTTTCGGCGGAAGAAACGTCGTGGTACTCCTCCACGACCACGGCCACCACCACGTGGGGCACCACCTTCGCCAGTACCCTTTCCGCCTTGTTCACCACCCTCACCAGAGTTTTCACCTTGTTGTTGTTGGTTAGACCCGGAATGCCGATTACCCGGGGTGTAATAATAATCATAATTACGTCGTGGTCTATAACGACGTTGTTGGTTACCACCCTCGTTGGTATTCCCTTCTTCTCCCGTTTTACCATCAGCTAAATGCAAAACATATTATTATTATTATTATTGAATGCATTTGTTTTAAAGGGGGGATCCCCATTATTTAACATGAAATTGAAGAAAGAAGGGCATGAGATGCATTTATTAAATGAATTCAATGAATTAGAACTTCTAACCGGATTCATATCCTTCTTGTCCTTCGCGTGGTGGTCGACGCTGCGATCGAACGTTTCCACGTCGTGGATATATCCAGTGACATCCGCGATAACCCCTGCGTTTATCAGCAGCATAGGGTGAACCCTTCACTGCTTCACCAGATGGTCCGGTGACATTAGCGGCTTCGTGACCCTTTTCTCCGATGACTACGTCAAATTCGACAACTTCGCCATCGCCAACGCTGCGCACGGCTTTTCTGGGGTTATTTTTAATAATAGCCGACTGTAATAAATAATATTAATTATTTAAATAATATATATTCATATACATATATAAACTATCAAAATTTAATATTTAATATAAAAAATACTCACTTGATGTACAAATACATCCTCCTTGGTGTCATTTCTGTAACAAATGTAAAAACAAATGATGTTAATAATTAAAAAAAAAAAAAAAAACACCCCCGTTTAATCTGAGAAGAAACAACTAGAAAAGTGTGTTATTAGGTAAAAGGATACATCAAAAAATTAACGTATGCAATAATTGTGAAAAGTATAGGGGGGGCATCCTAATAATAACATAAATCAACGAGTGTGTTGTTAGATGGTAGTATTGTGAGCTCATCAAGATGAGTATAGACGTGAAACGTATGTTACACAAACATACGTTGATCCATTGGTAAACCCAGAGAGAGTGAGAGAGAGAGAGAGAGAGAGAGAGAGATAATCGAAGCCCGTGAAGCTGCAGAGTAAAGCACGGACCTGAAAGGTCATCGAACCCTAGAGCTCAACTGAAGAGAAGAGGGGAGGGTAACGTTCGTCTCGTGTACGGAAGGCTAGCTTGCTTGCTTGCTTGCTTGCTTGCTTGCCCTTCCCCTGATAGGAATCCCTTCTATCTCTTTCTCTTTCTGTCTTGGATATATCACCGGTACACGATCTCTCTATGAGTATACTACGTGCATTTCCGCATAATCCTTGTTTTCATGTTAATTTATTTAATGTACTACTCAACTACAATTGGTATATGCAAAGTATAATGCAATAATCCTATTGTTTACTACTGCATTTGTATTTTCAGTTAAATTATCGAATGATTTTATTGACTAGGTAGGTGGTGGGGGGGGGGAGGGATCAATTTGGTACTCTTAATTTCTTTTAATAAATTTCTTAATTGTTATATAGAGCGACCAGAAAGTAATGTCGTTTCTACACACATGCATAGTTTTATATTTTAATTAAAAACTATTATATTACTGTATATAACCTTAATTTAACTGTACTATATAACTTATATTAATATAAAAGTATTATTATTTAATATACATATATATAGAGAGAGTATGTTATATATTTTATATATTTTAAATATTTGAATTTGAGGTTAGAAAGCAACATATTACTTTCTGGTCAACCTAAATGTTTGTTTTTTGTTAATTATAATATAAATAAATGAAAATATTTAATTTCAAGTATAATAATATATAGGATAAATAATAAATTTTGAATATATGAATTTAAAATAAAAATAAAAATAATAATAATAATAATAATAATAATAATATGGAAATAAATATATACGCAATAGTACCACGTGTGTTATGCGTTTCCATTAAGAAACAAGTTGCGTTTCTTCTTAAGATAATAATATTCAAGACACGTGAGTCACACTTATGCAAGGTCGCACACACAACACCACAACCATGACGTTCTTAATTGTCAAGAAGAACGCATTGCAAAATGGCTTCTCCCTTAGTTCATCTAATTTGTAACTTAATGTAAGGTTTCCAGCAGCCTTAACACCGTCATAATCGTTTAACTATATCAAATTTATTTGATTTTTTTTTTTTTTTTTTTCATAATATTGAACACGTAAAAATGGATAATATTTTATGTCTGTGTATCTCTGTGTGTATGTGTGTATGTGTTTTGCATTAGTATTATAATACTTTAGGCTCCTGTGATCCCGAGGAATAGGAGAATATCAGGGAAGCTGAATTTCTCGCGGTAAACGACGAATTTCTTGGCATTATGCCAAATAGATAGAGAAAGAGACCTAGAAATAGCGGAGGACCATCAGAGCTCGATGCGATTTAGGCATCTCTACGAGAGCTTCTGTCGTAAAGGGAACTTCTATTTCATGTTGAGTTGAAACTTTGTCTAGAAATTGCGCATCAATTTTGTTTCTTCTTTTTCTTCTTCTTTTTCAAAATTGTATACAGTCAACATCACACAATTAATTTATATATGAAATATAATTATCCTAGATTTTAATTTATTTTTTATTTTTAATAAAAAAAATACTACTCTAATAATGTATCATATAAATGTATTTGTAATAATCCTATTTTGTAATTGAAATAATTGTCCTAACGTTATTACAATCTTATTCATAAATAATATTTCTAGGATTAATTAGGAAATCTAGTAGGAAATCTATTCCTGAGAATCTAGGAAAATATCATTTTCCTAGTTTATTATTAAATCTTATATATAGATATATTTATTTCTAATTAATTGAATCAATGTTTCACACACATAACTTACAAACCAAAATGATTTTGGTTAAAGCACATACTCTCTTATACATTCGTAAAAATCTACTGAATTATATTATCAATAAAAAATTAATTAAATAATGATTAAGCAAAAAAAACAAACAAACAAACAAACAAAAACCCTTTTGTAAATAATCCTAGAAAAATATTCATGAAAATTGACAAGAATATTTCAATGATAACAGACGTATTTTCAAAATAATATACAACGAAGAACTAAAATAATGGCCAACCAATTTCTTTAAAAATGTTATATATTACAAACATTTATTCAAAACGTTATACTATTTAAACAAATAAAAAAAAAAAGAAAATGTATTTAAACTGATAGAATAAAAAGTAATATTGGAAAAACATTATTCTATTGATGATCTACAATATTAGTTCAACGGTCAAATGATGCAATACCAAATGTTCAAAATTATGCGAGTCATTAAAATACAAGAAAGAAGCAGTTAATGAATTTATGCAATACTAACCTGTTGATAAATCCATATCCACTTTTGACATTAAACCATTTTACTGTTCCCATTACCTTATTAGCTGAAAAATAAAAGTATAGAAAATTATTATAATTTGAAATAATTATTTATTTATTTATTATTATTATACAGATCGTATATATCAATAACCTATAAATAGTACAAATGTACTATATATATTATTTATAAATCTCTCACACAAATAAAATATATATAATATACAATAATACAGTAATATGCTAATATACAGTATATAATAGTATATTACTATATATTACTATATATTACTATATATTACTATATATTACTGTATATTACGATATATTAGTATATTAGTATATTACTGTATATAATATAATATACAGTAAAAAAAAAATATACTAATATACAGTATATACACATATAATACAGTATATATATATATATATGCTTTAAAGAAATACTGTATTAAATTTAATATTAAATTCAAATTAATAAAACTCAAAATTATGAAGACTATCTAAAATCAGATAATCTTATGAAACAGAAATAATCTGTTATTTTATTTGTCTTTCAATTTATAATGAAAACCAAGATTTAAGAATTTCAAAATGTTGTTCAATCAAAATACAATTTATAAATTATCAGTACAAATCAATAGGTCGAATTGAATGTTTACATTTAAATATCTATAGAAATATAATAATCATTTTCATATTATCTCTAATATGAGATAAAATGAAATATATATATATATATATATATATTTATTTAATATTATTATTCTAGAAATATCTCACATTACATAAATATACGAAATAAATTAAATATTTATCACGTTAAAACAACGTGATCAATTTCTGATATTCATAATTCAAATTGTTATCGATGACCTATTCTATTATCATTACACTCATATACACACACAAAATATATATATATATATATAAATATAATAAACATATAAATATATATATATATATATAAATAATACGTTAAATTATTTTAAAAGTTCAAATCAATTTTCTAAATATACATAATCATATTTAAATTTTTAAATATAAAATAATCAATTTATTTCAAATTAAGAACTTCCACCAATCGTTTTATTATAAAGTTGACCGGAAGTTCTTGTAAATTTAAAAAAAAAAAAAAAAATAATATAAATTGATATAAACTTTTAAATATATATATATATATATACACATAGGTATGTATGTAAAAATAAAAGAGTTTATTATAGAAGTTAGAAATTGTGCTCGTGACTCATTCGTTTCGCCATAATACTTCTATATATTAGCAACGAAAAAAAAACGTGGTTCCGGTTCATCGAGCCAGTATAGTCATATACACTACATTATATACTTATCTATTATATATATATATATATATATATATATATATATTTTGAAAATATATTTCGTAAATTCGTGATAAACGGTTAAGAAATATGATAATAATGTATTTGTGTATGTATATATGTATATGTATTGTCTTAACCTCTGTACACAATGTAAACATTCAAAAAAGTCACGTGTAAATACGTTAGACCAATCAGCAAATAGATTATTATGATTTTAACGTTCAGAAAGATTTCAAATTTATATATGTATATATATATAT